TTTGTTTTTTTGTTTTTTTGTTTTTTTGTTTTTTTGTTTTTTTGTTTGGTAGTATCCTGAGCACATTTAAGGGGTGGAAGCCATAAGGGCAGCATCTGTACCTGGAGACTGCTTCCTTGGCAGTGTGGGCTGAGTGTTCATCTTTGGAATGGGGTAACTTATTCTTCCTTTATTTCAGGGCTGTTATGCACTGCTTCCAACCATGCAGAGTTGTTTAAGGGCATTCTGTGCACCCTTAGGTGTAATAAGTCTTCATCTTTATAGAAAGCCAAGGATTGTCCTCTTCTGGACTGCTGTACTCAGCATCACCCCAGCGTGATGAAGTGAAGCCCCTGGTCTGCTGAATACTGGGACTGGCCCAGAGAGGCTCTGATGGATGTGGGTTATCCCAGCTGGAGTACCTGGTACCACTGGTGGTGATCTCGTCCAACTGCCACGCAACGAACAGGAACATCCACAGCCAGATCAGGTTGCCCAGAGGCTGACCCAGCCTCACCTTGGAAGGGACAGGGCATCCATCACATGTCTGGGTCCGCTGTGTCACCACCATCACTGTACAAGATTTTCTTTATATCTAGGCTAAATCTTTCCTTGTTCTTCCCTTCAGGTGTTGAAAGGCTGTTACCAGATCACCTCGGAGCCTTCACTTCTCCAGGCTGAACAGCTCCAGCTCTCTCTCTTTATAGAAAAGGCATTCCATCCCTCAGTTCATATCTGTGGCTGTTCTCTGGATGTGCTCCAACAGCTCCACGTCTGTCCTGCGCTGCGGACATCCACATCCAGACGCAGCACCGCCAGGTGAGGCCTCACAGCGCAGAGCAGAGGGGCAGGACCGCCTTTCTTCGCCTACTGACCGCACATCTTTGGATGGAGCCCAGCATACGGTTGGCTTTCTGGGCCAGGAAGGTACATCGCTGAGTGCCACTACTCAGCCTGTTGAGGTCCCTCTGGATGGCGTTGTCTCTCTGGTGTGTCACTGCACCCCACAGCTCGGTGTCATTAGGGTGCACTCAACCCCTCTGTCAATGTCACTGATGAAGGGGCAATCCCAGATGTTTGTGCAAACTCAGCAAAGAACACCTTGAGAGCAGCCCCACAGAGAAGGACTTGTGGATTGCGGTGGATGAGCCGGGATCCCTGAGTGGACATCAGCCAGCAGAGTGCGCTTGCAGACTGGAAGGCCAGCTGTGTTCTGGGCTGCATTAAAAGAGGAGTGGCCAGCAGGGAGAGGGAGGTGATCGTCCCCATCTACTCAGCTCTTTTGAGGCTTCATCTGCAGCGCTGCATCCAGGCCTGGGGCTCCCAGCACAGGAAGGACGTGGAGCTCATGGAGCGGATCCAGAGGAGGCACTGCGATGATCAGATGGTTGGAGCAACTCTTCTACAAGGAAAAGTTGAGGGAAGTGGGCTTGTTCAGCCTGGAGAAGAGAAGGCCTGGGGGTGAACTCATTGCAGCCTCCCAGTACTTGAAGGGGGGAACAGCAGGAAGGGGAACGGCTGTTTACGAGGGTGGATCATGATAGGACAAGGGGAAATGGTTTTAAACTGAAACAGGGGAGGTTTAGGTTGGTTATTAGGAGGAAGCTTTTCACACAGAGGGTGGTGACGCACTGGAACGTGTGCTTCAGAGTTACTTCCAGGAGGATCTGCTCCTCGAATCTTTGCAGCACAGAGGTGAGACTGATACGTTGGTGGTTCCCAGGGTCACACTTTATATCTGCAGTAACAGCTGTGCTGTCGCCTTTTTTCTGCTCACCAGGGACTTCACCTGACTGCCTCGACTTCTCAAATACCACTGAGAGTGGCTCGGTGACTGCAGCGGTGAATTCCCTCAAGGCTCTGGGACTCGTCTCATCAGAACCCAAAGACTCCTGGATGCTCAGGTCCTCAGGTGGTCCAGAACCTGATCTCCCATCACAGTGTGGGATAGGGAGGGGTCTGTGGGATCGGCTTTGCTTCCTCAGTCCCCACCTACTAAACCAAAGGTGAAGGCAGTGTATAATGAGCAGTTATCAGAGAAGATGGAAGATGGATGTTGTTGGGTACCTGAGCCTTCTCCTTGTCTGTTGTTCCCAGCTGCAGTGCTGCTGGTAAGCAGCATCACGCACAGAGTGCAGCCATGTTGATCAGAGAAAGGAGTGCAGGTTTGTGAAAGAGGCACATCTGCAGGGCAGTGCCTTCATTACTGCGTTGTGTCCCACAGGTGACAGCGAGTTGCAGCACTCCCGAGTGCCGTAACGACTGCATGGAGATGTGTGGCTCTTCATGGGAACAGCAAGGAACCGGAATCTGCATTTCCTGGAATGCCCCGGAACCTCGCTTTGCTGGCTGGTAATTGTCTGCCCAGCAGGTAAGGGCAATGCACACCCACCAATGTTTACCCACCCCATAGCACGGCACAGCACGGTGCTCCCAGAGCTCTTCATTGCACTTCACGGTGCCCTGGATGCTGCCTGTCCTTTTCTTTCTGTGTTCTCCTTGTCTCTGGCCTTTTACTGCAGTGTTTTCCTTCCCTTTGCCCTTGCTGTTCCCTACTGCGTTGTCTTGTCCTCCTGTTTTTGTGTTCTATGCCACGTTCATTTGGCCGTTGCCCTTGGCTTTCTTTACCACATTCACTTCAGCATTCAGTTTTGGCGTTCCCTGCTGCGTTCTCCTGCCCTCCTGTTTTGGCGTTTCTTGCCGTGTTCTCTTGGCCATCATCCTTGGCATTTCCTTCCATGTTCTCTTGGCCCTTGCCCTTGTCTGTGCATTTCCTTGTCCTCCTGTTTTTGTGTTCTATGCCACATCTCTTGGCCATTGCCCTTGGCTTTCTGTAGCCACATTCTCTTCAGCGTTCAGTTTTGGCGTTCCCGGCAGCATTCTCTCACCCTCCTGTTCTGGCATTTCCTGCCACGTTCTCTTGGCCCTTGCCTGGGCATTCCCTGTGACGTTCTCTTTGACCTCCTAACTTGTTCCAGCCACATTCTGCATTGGCCTTCTTTGCCGTGTTCTCTTTGGCCTCCTATTTTGGCACTTCCTGCCATGTTTTCTTAGCCCTTGCCTGGGCATTCCATGTCGTATTCCCTTGTCCTTTTGTTTTGGCATTTTGTGCTGCATTCTCTTGGCCTTTGCCCTTGGCCTTTCCTGCTGTGGTCTCTTTGGCTGTATATTTTGGCCTTTCCTGTTGCGTTCTCCTTGCCCTTACCTTGGCTTTCCATTGGGTGTTCTCTTTGCTCTTGCCCTTGCCTTAGCTTGGCTGTCTGCTTTGCATTTACCTTGGTTTTCCATGGGAGTTCTGCTTCCCTTTGCCTGCACTGGGAGTTCTGCTTGCCTTTGCCTTCAGCACTCTGGGATTAGCTGGGAGGCAACATTAAAGTTAACCTTGACCTGAACCCGTAGCTGAATGGGAGTTCTAACGATAATTGTGTTAACCTGCAGCATATCTGTAAACCAAACCCTTAACCCAGTGTTGAAAATGTCTCTTAACGTGAATGCTGCTGTAAAAATAATGCCTCATGGTTTTTTGTCAAATAACCTTAATTGCGATTGTAGCGCAGAATACTGATGTTAGACCAACTGTAACTTCAACCCTATCAATAAAATTAAATATATCCCAAATGTTAATTATAATTGTAATTAATTACAACCCTTGTGTCATCATTACAGCAATGTGCTCAGGGTGCAGCCCCACACATGCGGGGCAGTGCCTTCATTACTGTGTTTTGTCCCACAGGTGGCAGCAGAGCTGCGGCGCTCCTGAGCGCTTTAAGGTCAGCACGGAGATGCGTGGCTCTTCATGGCAGCAGCAAGGAACCAGAATCTGCATTTCCTGAAACGGCCGGGAACCCCACTTTGCTGGCCGGTAATTGTCTGCCCAGCAGGTACGGGCAATGCACACCCACCAATGTTTACTCATTACTTACTGAGGCACAAGGTAGGGTTCCCAGAGCTCATTTCTGCACTTCATGGTGCCCTGAATGCTGCCTGTCCTTTTCTTTCCGTGTTCTCCTTGCCTCCAGCCTTTCCCTGCAGCGTTCTCCTTGCCCTTGGCTTTTCCTGCTGTGTTCTCTTGCCCTCCTGTTTTGGTGATCCCTGTGGCATTCTCTTGGCCACTTGCCCTTCCCTTGGCCATCTTCATTGTGTTCTCTTTGGCTTTGGCCATCTGTGCCACATTCTCTTGGCCTTTGTCCTTGGCCTTCTTTGACACTTTCCCTTTGCCTCCCGTTCTGGCGTTCCCTACAACATTATTTTGGCCTTCAGTTCTGGCGTTCGTGGCTGCGTTCTCTTTGGCCATTGCCCTTGGCCTTCTTTGCCCCATTCCCTTTGGCCTCCTGTTCTGGCGTTCCCTGCGGCGTTCTCTTTGGCTTCGGTTTTGGCGTTCCCTTCCATGTTCTCTTCGGCCATTGCTCCCGACCTTCTTTGCCACATTCCCTTTGGCCCCTTGTTTTGGCATCTCCTCCTACAGCATTCTCTTTGCCTTTGGTTTTGGCCTTCTGTGC